TATCGATAACATAGTGTTAACTGTGAGTCGTCAAAAAACGGATGAAACCAATAATGAACGTAACATCAAAAAGCATATTATTTCATGAATACATTCCATACTTTGAATTAATTATCACATTATCGTATATTTATGAATTAGGGATTTTAGGGAATTTATTATTAAACTATTATTATCACTACACCATTTCTGATTTATCTCTTAAGACAATCTTTAGTGATATTATGCTTACTTACTTACTTACGCCTGTTACCCCCAATGGAGCATAGGCCGCCCACCAGCTCTCTCCAACCAACTCTGTCCTGGGTTTCCCTCTCCAGAGCTGTCCAATTCAGTGATATTATGAAAGTATAAATAAAATAGAATTTCGCATAAGTATTTTTTTAACCCTAAGCATGTTATACAATTTTAAATACGATTAAATAAGAGCAAAGTTCACATGTCATTAAGCTACGTTGACGTTGTAGCATCTCACAATTTATTCATTGTACTTTCGTTTGAATTATTCGATATTTGTATCAACCTTAATTTTGTATTTGTAATAATTCGATTACTTACAGTATCGACTATTGTATATTGGATTGTATGTGGATGCTTACTCGCTTATCACATGTCTAGCCTATTATTGCTTGACTATAAATACTTAGCCATTCTTCAGTGCATAGAGAGTTGGCTCACTCTCCCTCTCCAATACGTTACGTTCTGCTTGTACGCTTCCCTTCTCATGTTTTGTTTGCATAAATGAATGCATGAAATGAAGTCATCCTCAACACTGTATTTTTAGCTTCTTACAACCGCCGTCGCACAAACGGGGTTAGCCTAAGTAGAAATATACGAAAATAGAAAGGAAGAGTTATTTCATTGCACACTTGATCATTCTTCCACACTGAAGTCAAGTCGTGAGCCGCTGAGACGTCAAGTAAAAGTTAAAACACTGGTTTTTTTCCTATAAGCATTAAAAGATGAATTATTGATGAAAATTTCATAGTATTCTATAGTTGCTCAGTGTTATTTTTTTGACAATGGAATATTGCTTTACACTATATTCAATATCATCCAAGCTATCCGAACTACTTCAAACGAATTTAAGTACATTAGTGTTGTTAATTGAAAATTAATAGTAATAATAATAATAATAATAATAATAATCAGTAGAGTATTAGACTTTTGATCCGAAAATTTCCTTCCTAAATATCTTTTCACCCTGTATTTTTTACACCATATCCTATTCATGTTCATTTCATCTCTTCGCATTATGCGCATCATCGGCAACCTATCAATAAACTGAAAACAAATTTAACCTTTTTTTTACTGATAATCACTTTGATTATAGTGAGTGTATGTTAACATGGATGAAAATAACTATGAAACAGACATTTTGATTTCATGTCATACTTTATATTCCTTCCATAAATTTAAAAGGAATACGATATGAATAGAGAAAATGACAATATGCATAACAAACGAATTCTTTAGAACAATACAAATAAGTTTGAAAACAGTGTGACTGATTCTACTCGCATATGATTAGTATGCAGTAGAGCGTCACTCACAAGTTGCTAACAGAGAAGAGTGTCTGAAGATTGAAATGCATGGTGCGATCAAAGTATGCTGAAGATCAGAGCAGATATATGGGAAAATATAGTGATTAACTTGTTTGTATTGCACTGTATGTTTGAAGATAATGTGTACATATTTTGTAAAGAAACCTTGTCTTCTTTAAATATACTTACTTACTTACTAACGCGTGTGACCCCCAGTGGAGCATAAGCTGCCTACCAGTATTCTCCAACCTACTTTGTCCTGGGCTTCCCTTTCTAGTTCCTTCCAGTTTTTGTTCATTCTTCTCATATCTTTCTCTATTTCTCGGCCCAATGTGTTCCTTGGCCTTCCTCTTTTCCTTTTGACTTGAGGGTTCCATGTGAGGGCTTGTTTTGTGACGCAGTTGGGTGCTTTTCGTAGTGTGTGTCCTATCCACTTCCACCACTTCTTCCTCATTTCCAACTCCACTGGGATCTGGTTTGTTCTCTCTCACAGTACGTTGTTGCTGATGGTGTCTGGCCAACGAATACAAAGTATATTGCGCAGACAACTGTTCATAAACACTTGTATCTTCTAGATGATGGCTTTCGTAGTTCTCCAAGTTTCCGCTCCATACAGTGGAATTGTCTTGACATTTGTATTGAAAATGCTGATTTGGGTTTTGGTTGATATTTGTTTGGAGTTCCAGATATTTTTCAACTGTAGAAATAGAGCCCTCGCTTTGCCGATCCGCGCACTCACATCTGCATCGGATACACCTTTCTCATCGGATATGTAAAGGTGCTAATGTCCTCCAAGGCATCTCCATCAAGAGTGATTTGGTTGGTGCATGTTGTGTTGCATTGGAGAATTTTGCTTTTTGCTTTATGTATGTTGAGACTTACTGCTGCAGGAGCTGCTGCTACACTGGTCGTCTTCTCTTGCATTTGTTGTTGAGTGTGCGATAGAAGGGCCAGGTCATCTGCGAAGTCCAGATCGTCCAGCTGCGTCCTAGCTGTCCATTGGATACCGTGCTTCCCTCCTCTTCAAATATATATGTATGTATATATTCAATTGGGTTTGGTGTATGCGTATTTTATTTGCAAATTATTGAAGTACTGTATGTCCACTTGTTTAATTAGTTTTTGCTAATAAGCTTTAATATAATAAATATCACCTGTTATAATGTATCTTACAAAAACTTACAAAATGTACATTGATAGAAGGATTGCATTGAAAAGAAGTTTTCTAAGGTTTTTAATTTGAATATTACGAGTGATTATTAATTATACTAACTAGTAATATACTTAAAGAGAACAAGAATCATGAACTACAATCTTAATACATTATCTGTTTCAGCTTACACGGATTAAACAATGTAGTCATCAGTGATACAGTTCGTTTATTCTGGAGTAAGACTAAGTGACATATAAATATAATATCTACCATAAACAGTCATACAGTTTTAAAGAAATAAAGGTTTAAATATTAGTTTCAAAACTATCCATTTCCCCTGACATAATTATTCGATTCTTAGCAAAAGTTATTGATTTCAGCAGAGAAGGAAAACAGGAAGAAGCGGTGGAAGTGGATAGGACACACACTGCGTAAATAACCCAACTGCATTACAAGACAAGCCCTTACTTGGAACCCTGAAGGTCAAATGAAAAGAGGACTGCCAATAAACACATTATGCCGAGAAATAGAGAAAAATATGAAGAGAATGAACAAAAATTGAACAAAAGTGGAAAGAAAAGCGTAGGACAGAGTAGGATGGAGAATACTGGTCGGCGGCCTATGTTCCATTGAGGACAATCGGCGTAAAATGTTGTCAAACATAACTGGAAAAATATAGAAAATAGCTGAAATTCAGTAACGATCATTCATTAACTATTTCACTAAACCACACCACAGAAAAAGGTATTTCCAATAGATTAGAGAGAGAGAGAGAGGGAGAAAAAAATGATAGAACTGAAATCAATATCTTGCATAAAAATAAAAAATTACAGCTATCCAAGTGACTAAATTGAAAATCTATTAAACCTATTAAACTCTTCAAGTCGAAACTGCAATTATGGGTAATCATTTTTAGAATGTTTGTTTTTTTTGCTATGATGTTGTAATCAGTTTTTATTCGTTAATGACTGGATCAATTTTAAGGAAATCAATAATAATTCATAAATTCTTCATTTAAAAATTTTTAATTATATTTCTCCATAAAACAAATTTGATCGAAATTTCTTGAAAACTGAAATAAATCGACTGTTTTATTTATCTTGAGAATAGAGTATGTAAAACATACATACAGTTAGTCATTGGAACTAGTAGATATATACTGAATTTTAGACTTTAAATTAACTGACTAGTAAAGTATAGTCGCTAGTTCACTAATTCTTCTTATATCCTATTGGTAATGCTTTCGACTATGGCAATGTGTTATATTCATTCAAAATAGTTGAGTTCAATGGTCTTAACGGTAAACTCATTGCTAATAGTGATAAAATTTCAAATGAATTCTAAACAGTTTAGCAGCTGTGAATGACCGATGGAGTTTTTCTCATGTCCAAAGTGAGATAGCTCAATGATAAACAGGCTGATCGAAGTTCGATACGTAATCTATCATATTTTAATCCAGTTGTCTAATGATAACGTTCATATTGTGTAATCATAATTTCCTTGGTTTGATCCCCCTAACGGTTGTAGTGAGTTTGCATTCCTGAAAAGCCGTCAATAAGGAGAAAAAGTTATTTAGTTGCATTCTAGATATTTTGAATTCGTAATAAAAATAGAGTTTATTTAGGTGATGGAAAACTTACAATTGAGGCATATAATGGCTTGTGGAATCAACCATATTAGGGGTTAAATTACAAATCACCAATCATAAACAAAGTAAAGACTACACTTTATCATGATTTATATGACGTAAAACCATCTTGATCAATATATTTTGATTTTATGGAAGATCTGTGCTTTATAGGTTTGTAGTACTCCTCAAGGAGTCCTAAAGAAAACGAAAACTGACGATGAACTCTTCCTAATTTCCAATGCTTCTTTAACTTACGTCAATGTACGATAAGATGTTTCTTTAAAATATATTGAACCATTTAACTTCATATATACATTTTTTAAATAGTTTTGTACTTAAGATAAACAAAAAATAACTTGAATTCATTTCTTTTGAAATGATAACAAAAATTCGGTCCATAAGTAACCAATCAAATCAAATAAAAAAAAGAAGAAATTGTCATAATAATTATTATTTGAAAATACTTTTAACTCGTCATCATAACTCATTCTTTTTTTTAAAAAAAACTCGAAATGCATAAAATTTTATGCAGAACAAATTTTCCACTTTCTTCCAATTGGTTCATCTATGGATGTGTTCATTAATCGAACCAATCATGTAACTGATTAGACATGAACTGCAATATTATCCTTGTCATATGAACTTTTTCAGATTGTATTCATGTATAAAATAACTTCACTAACTAGTACTTTATCTAAGTTGGTATATTGATAATAGTTTAAGATGTAATCTAGACAGTTGTCGTATTCGAATTTAACAAGTTGAAATTATACAGCAACTTTATATATCAGCAAAATAAATTCATATCTAATGTCTTCGTCATTAAACAAAAATATAAGATTGTCGTGCCTACTATTTATTGCATGGCTTATAGATATGTATTGCTTGGATATATTGAAGGATATTTATGTAAATGATCAAAATAATTCAGGTAAGTACAGTTTTTAAACTCGAACACGACTAACTTCTCAAAATAAATAAATAACTAGTGAGGGAGTGATTCAACTGACCAGAGTAGAAAGTAATACCTTTAAAAAAATACCAAGACCATTCTGTTAATGTTGTTTATCAGTGCAATACTCCTGTGATGAATTAGCTTTGCTTATAAATTCATATTTAACAACCCGCTCGCTTAATACAAGATACAATTATCAACCCATTTTGTAATTCACACGTCCAAAATCTCCTCAAAATAGTTGGCTTTAAAATTTTTTTAGAAAAAACTAGAGCCATTAGATTATGGGGCTATTTTAGGCACGAAAATATAAGTAAACTCACGTGAAAACTACTATGGATTGATACCAGTTAGGATAGATTATAAGGTCTGTAAAAAAGAGTTAAGATATCGTATGGGTGGTAATGAATGACCAGTGTTGATCAGATACAAACAGAACAAGTCAACTAACTACCCAGTACTTCTCAATATTTTTTTGATAATGTCATTCGATGATGAAAATCACTCTTTCATCCTACTTTTATCATAGTGAATTCGAATTTATGCGGATTTTATTTATTTCAAATCTCGATTCGACTCGAAATTTTTATCAACCTGTAATTCTGTGGGTAAAAAACAAGAACGGGAAAAATTTCCCATTTCTTTTCAATCATCTCTTGACTGAATTGAATGAATATTATATCTATTTCTAACAGTTTTCTAGAAACATTAATTATCATTAGGGTGAAGATTTTTAAAAAAAAAGTGTTAACATTTTCATTTGTCTAGTTAAAAGTTGGTCACTTATTTGACTAGAAAAACAATAACAAATTTTTTCACATATCAAACGTTGCATAAATCATGTTTTCTTGCCCAACCAAAATACCATTGAAAATACAACATCGTATGAATAGCGACAGTCGAAAAAAATGTGAAAAATCAAATGTTAACAAGGTGTGAAACTTGTTGTAACAATAAACTTGATTCTACGTTACCATAAATATCACATACATAGCCTTTGTGCATGTATACTATACAGATGTGCATGTGTCTTTGTATCAATGTGGTCCTAAGATGTCATAACAAGTATATATATATATATATATATATATATATATATATATATATATATGATAGTTGGGTAATGTTAAACATTGAAATCATTGTGGTAAATGCCATGTAAATACATACATAATAAGTGTACATTGTTTTGTTGCCTTTGACTCTAAGTATGACATAAATGATAAGTTTCGGTTTCGGTGTAAAATTCCAAAGTGCATAGAGAAATTCTCAACATCATATTACATATCTATCTGCATTAGAGTAGGTTTTTATAAAAGCACTTGATGGTTTGAATGCAATGTAAATTAATTGTATTCAAGTTTACGTAAAACTTTGAAACTATTGTTGATTTAAAAGTTTTTTAATTATCCGTTTTATAAATAAATATATCAATGAAATCAGCACACTAAGAATAACTGAACTTGCTTAACATGCTGTAATTATTATTTGACTTTGATCTTTTATAATATAGAAATGATTTTTGTTATTCCAAACTAGACATATTCAATAAATAGTCTTCATACTTATAAGACGTTTACAAAACTCAATTTAGGAATTCTATGTTCATTATCCTGCAAAGTAATCAACTATCAGTCATCAAAAACAATTCATGCTTTCATGTAAGCAGTCAAATCTGTCTTTGGTTATCGTACTGCTGGTACACTGGGATTGTTCTTTTACAATCTGTGTACCATAGAACAGAGATAAGAGAAATACCGTTCACACAGTGTACTCCAGGCAATATGCAAGATTGTTTAGAAATTCGCATCAAATTGAACATCGATGCAATAATTTAAGATTATTCCAAACATTATATGATAAAATAAAAAAAAATTGAGTCTGTGATCAAACTTACTTTTTAATTTGCAAAAAATCAATCATACTGATTTCTCGAAAGCAGACACCTGAACGATTTCAGCAGATATTGCTGAAAAATACACACATCAAATTCAGAGTCTCAGAATGAATTATCATATAGTTCTGAAAATTTCAAAGCATTTGGATAACTGAATGAATTCTACAGCATATACAACATAGTGAATGAATTCTAGCCGTTGCGAACAGACAATAAGTTTTCCTAACTGAAATATTTTTCATAGCGAATCCCTATGTTTATGAGCAAGCTTTTTCATATATTACTATGCAAGGTTTCAGATTTCAGTTAACAAGTGTCATTCTAAAGTTTATATCACTCATTACGATAAGTGAAAAGGTCACTCATAACACGTGTAAAAAAGTGTGCTTAGTTGAATTCTTCAAACTAAGAAAGTTACATTGTCAGCGCTGATTTTTGTGTCAGTTACTATTAGTTTGATTAGAAGTGCATATCATAATTTGAACTAGAAACATTTTGATCAGTTGCATTTGCCACTCCTTTAGTTTAACATCTAAGCGCTTACCAATCTGTGTCACAGAATACACAATTAATGAATTTTACTGAAGAATTTCTTTATTATATTAGTGAAAGAGATTCTTTTCACTGTTCGATAAAGATTAGTAAGAATGATTTCGGATGGTTTTCTGAAGACATTAACCGGGTCATAAAAATGAACAAGCTTTTTAATTACACTTAAGATTTCCATAAAACATATTGTTCTGTCCAAAATATCAACCGATCCAGTTTATATTAGTACTTAAGGTACAAACAGCCAATATGTACATGTAACATTCAATAAAACTAATGATAATTAGACTTCAGATGTCATCAGTGAAACTTTATCAATATTGATGCACTACGTATTATAACAACAATTACTCACTGATGTCTTTATTACTTCATCGATGTGTTGGTATAATGGCCAACTGATATGTCCTGATGAATAGAGTGAAACGTACGTTCTCGGTTCCACTGTCAGCTATCATCTTTCTCTGCCTAAAAACCTTATTACTGTGTTTACGGTTGTTAACCTGCATATGAAATTTCTCAATAAAATCGATAAATCCTGATAACTAAGACTTTCCGTGTAAATAATATCACTGCTCACCACTATTATGTCTGGAGGTGAGGTCCTATCCAGATACCGTCGGTTAAATATGGGCTAAGTATTCAGTTTGTTTACATGTTAAGCATAAGCTCATACGGTAATCACATTACAAAGTAAAATTATAACCCAGAAAGAAGGTTATATTTTACAAAAATTCTTTTTCGGCTTAGCTGTGCTGGAAAATACAAACAAGTACTTTAATTATTCCTACTATTCGTAATCTTCTACGAAACAACGGTATTTTCGACATTGTCTCAAATTTTTCCTATATAAAAATCTAAACTAACATAACAGTAATTTAATCAGAATCTCATGATAACTTGCCAAAAACGCTACTAACCTACTTTGACAATAGAAATGTGAAATGTTTATTTCCACTCTGTTACTTTTAACAGTGTTGGTCTTTTCAATAAATTTTCAAAGTATAGGTGAGAAATATGAATGATCTGAAAATGTGAGTATTAGAGTTGAATATCAATTGATTAATGGTTACCTAAACGAACTAACATGCAGCATAAACCTCCTTGAATAATCTAAAGGTTGAAAATTCCCCCTTAAAAAATAGTGCTTTCACGAAATTAATATTGTTCTTCTGACAGTTTGTATTCAAAGATGGTAGTGTTTTCTTAAGGTTGGCTCTGTATCTCGGTTAAGTTGTACGGGCTTGAAGTAAGACAGTTTGACTATCTACCTTCATACCTTATCAATAATACCGATGTTAATTAACAGTGGAACTACTGAGACACATATTCTATCACCTTCATTCGTAAAACCCGAATAATTTATTTGACCTGTATTACCTTTTTATCTTGCCTAGAATAGGATAAGATTAATTATAATGTCATTTCATACATTTGTTATTCTCCTGATCTAATCATTTTTGGAAAGAGAATTTTAAAACGAAACATGTTCTCCTACACCTTTTTCACAGAAATACTGCACGGTGAAAGTTTAGATCTGTTCAGTAACCAGCAGACTTTTCCAATTTCAAAACAGTTATACTTGAAAGATCTTGACGTGCATAGAGTCTACAGTGGCTTATTTCTTCATGATCATATAAAAATAACCGAACACAAAGTTGTATTTAAAAATGTCTTTACTATCTCGTTGTCTGATAGATTAAAGATCAAATGTAGTAATATTCTAAAACATTCTCAATCAAGCAAAAATATTATGACTTTGAGTTTGTTTACTTACCGTAAACTATGAATTATTAACAGCTGACTGACATCAAGTTACCTAACACATAATAAACTAGTGTAATTAACAAAGAGTTTGTTTATTTGATGTAATTCTTTTTTCTAGGTTATTCAATCGTGTATAAAATATCCGTATGCTGAAACTTATTCACTATGAATGTTATTAACAAATAAAATAAAATAACTTTTGGGGTTTAGTGGTTATGCTTGCATGAAAATAAAATGACATGTGTGAAACGTAGTTAAACGACTTGATCAACTCAAATGTAAGCAGGTTACAAGAGAAGTACGACTGACAACAGTGAAGCACTGGAAAGGTGTTTTGTTTTGGTTTGAAGTTTTTCTTCGGTAGTTGTTTATTAAAAGGATCTTGATTAAGTGATAAGAATAATAATAATAATAATAGTAAAGTCTGCAAATGATAATTACAGAATTTATGTCAGTTAACAGGTATGGTTAGCTTGATAGAGGAATAAATATTCTATGTAGATGATAGATTAGTCATGTAACATTGTCTGAATTGTTCCAGTTAGAAAATTGTTTAAGTCGTATATTCTTCACATATATAACGATGATGCAAGGCGTCAGTTAAGACATTCATTTTTTTCAACGGGACATCCTGTTACAGTTTGGAAGGAGTATTTAATGTTATTTCCAGAGCCAGCCATTTAAAACTAGCGAAAATAAGAGGAAAAGAGAGAGTGCAGAACAAGGAAAGCAATAATACCAATAACAGGTCAATCAGATCTAT